CCACATCGCCAGCCCTACTTTATTCATTTGTTTATATGCGGTGCGGAGACTCAGACCCCGACTTTCACACATGCTTGGCAAGTGCTCTACCACTGAGCCCCAGCCCCAGCCCAAGACACATTATTTTGAAGTTACAAGGTATTTTTCAACTTGTGTGCAAGGAGACAGAGATCAAATATGTACTTCCCGGCATCATACAGGCCTAGCTGACAGCCAACACCAGCCCTGTACATGCACCTCCACAGGACACCAGATGGTCCCAGCTGTAGCTGTGAGCCAGGACCCACACCTGGCAGAGCAGAGGCCCTGCATGCCCATTCCAGTATCAACCCACAGAGAAAGGCAGTATTTGGGGGTCATTGATTATGTAGCATTATGACTGGGACATTGGGGACGGACTGAATCCTGGACCCAGGGTCAGCCATCTTTCCCTCCTCCCTACTTCCTGTTCCAGCAGAGAGCAGATAAGAGGCAAAGAATCTGTAGTGGTCAGATCACATTATGAAGCAGCCAAATAGACCGTTCCTGGCTATTTGGAGCTGTCAGAGTGTAGGCACTTATTCTAGGCCAAGGTTCTGACAGAGGCAGGTTCACAGTGTCCACTTGGATGTCAACTTGAGTTGTTCAGCTTGGAGGGGGCCGTGTGTGGGCATCACAGGCTGGAGGAACCACACTATGCTAACCCTGGAGCACAGATATCTGGAAGATCCTTGCTGTGGTGATTTTCCTGGGCAAGGCTCCTGACAAGTGACCAGGTGACATGGGCAGGGGGATGTCATGTCCAGTCTTGGGGTACCCCTCCTTTTATGGGCCTCAGGTGAGGGCATATGTCGTTTGGTGCTCTGGGGTGTTCGATAAGCTCATGGGCCTGGTTTTTCCGATGTTTGGTACACCCTGGCGCCCCTGTGCTTCTGATGAATTTGATAAGTTCACAGGGGTCGTTCTCACAAGCATGTGAATTCATTCATTTATTATTCTGAGCCTTAGGGCTGTGCCAGGCAGATGGTGGCTGTTTACTTGTAGAAACAAGGTGTGGAGTCATGCGCCTCAGTCCTTGTACTCAAAACAGAGCAGCCTATGGCAGCCACGGCTTGGTGACACGGAGGACTCAGGGTGGGCACAGCCTGGGGACTGCTGTTGTTACGCCGTGGGGGGCTCGGAGCCGGGCAGAGCCTTCTCTCCATGGTGCAGCTTCCCCACTCTTGCTGGGCTGTGGCGCCTGGAGCGGGCAGGCTCCCCCCCATTGCCACTTCCTGACCAGACCTGTGTGGAAGGGCCCAGTGCTGACCCTGCGCCGTGCTGCTCTTTCCTAGCTACTCCTCCTGGCTCCCGCCGCTCTCCCAGCCCTGCTGTCACAGTCCTCGGGGACTCCACAGTCTTCACAATGACCTTCCCTCCCTCCTGGCTCCGTGTCCTCCTCGCTGGCCTTATGCTGGCCAAGGTCCACTCCAGCCTTAGGGTTGGGGTCCCCAACTACCTCCAGCCTGGCAGCCGCCTCCCTCTCCTTTAGCCCCGAGAGGTGAGGTCCCAGCAGAGGCCCCAGTGCAGTGTCCTCACGCTGGGCACCCTCTCCTCTCTGGTCAAGGGCGCTTGTCTGCAGCCCTGTGGCGGCGGCTGCGCTGCCCATCTGCTCCACCTGCCTGAAGGCGAAGTGTCACAGGGTTTAACAGCCACCTGCCAGCTTCCTCTCACCTGGGGGCTCTGAGGGGGCCCAGGCTGCCTGAGGCCTCGCTCCTGAAGCTGCTGTTGGCTGAGGGTCAACTGGACTGAGAGGGCACTGTGCCGGACGCTCAGGGCTGCATCACTGATGCTGGGCTTCTACCAGCTGCCTGGAATCCTGCCCAGCCTACCCTGCCTTCTCAGGGAGGCTCAGCCAACATACCAGGAGGGTAAAGTGGAGGCCGGGGTTCCAAACCCAATAGCTTGTCACTTCCAGCACATTCCACCAGTCAGATTCGAGGGTGGCACCCTCAAAGTGCTGAGCCGTGTCCTTCTCTCATGCTGTGCTGCAGCTGCATGTGGCAAGAGAGGTGCTGTGTATCACCCTGGCCTTGGTCACCCCCACAGCTGTGCCTCAGGTGGCCCCGATTTGCCCAGGCGTGACGCTAGTCCTGGTCAACCCTGCTCCTGGTCCACTCTTCAAAGCCCCTGTCTCTTCAAAGTCCTTGGGCTGAGGCCCTCCTTATGCGACTTATGCCTCTGCCAAACCCACCTTTGCTGTCTGTGTGAGAGGTGGACACGTTCTCAGTGCCTTTCTGCCCAGTGACACACCTGTCCTCAACTCTGGGTGGTGACGGTACCCATCAACACTCAGGCAGCCCTTTGATGTCAAATATGATTTTCAAGGTCACGGCAAGACTTTCAAGGAGTGTGAGCACATGTCCATGGTCTGTCTTGCTCAGAGACCAGGAAACCAGCAGGTGGGAGCCCCGGAGGATCCTCTTTACAGGCCCAAGCGGGCGGGGCTGCAGCAGTGGGCCTGCTCAGGCCTTTCAGGGCAGCAGGACCCGCCTTTCCCTGGGACAGAACCTCACAACACCTCACGGTGTGGGGGAAGAGGCGACTCCATGGCACACAGCATCGGTGAAGCCTCCTCCAAGGCGTTGGGGACAGGCAAGGAGGCCTTGCCCTGACCTCCAGGTCTGGAACGAAGCTACTCAACCTGTGGACTATGAGCTTCACTAGCAGTTTCCTGGGCAGGTGCCGCCGGGGCCTCTCTCTCCTAGAGAGAGCTCTGACCCCGGGGGGGGGGGTGGCTGGTCTGTCCTGGTAGCCCCCCCACCTTAGCACTCCCCTGTCGGTTGGGTATCTGAGAACCAGAGGCCAGACATGTCATTCTGTGGCAGGAACGTGAGGGGGCCTGGTTTGGCCTTAGCCCAATTCTCGACTGCCTGTGGCAGTCCCCACAGTCCTGGGTCTGTACCTGGGTCTGGATTTGGAAGACAGCTGACCTCGTGTCATGTCCTAGACTGCGGGCTCCTTCTCCTCCTCCTTCACGGGCCTGGTGGGTTTGAACTGTCCCATGCCTGCTCCTGCCAACGGCTTTTCACAGATTGGAACAACAGCCCTGGGCACAGACCTGTCTCCTCCTCCAGGTTTCTCTACAGATATCACCACCCTGTCCTGAGAGCCCTGTCCCCAGCCCAGGTCTGTTTTACTAAGAACCAGAATCCAGGTGGTTCTGAAGGGTCCACTGGGCTGCTGCATGGTGTTAAGAGAGGTCTCTTTCTTGCCCTGTACTACATCCTGCTCTCCCAAGAGGCCCATTGCTAGGGCTGCCTCTGGGAGGGGCTGTGCCAGCCCAGGGGGCCGTGAGGAAGGAGGCTGTGGTCTGGCTGCGACCGCTCAGTCCTCCTGGTCCTGGTGAAGGGTCTGGCGAGCTCCTGGCTGCTGTTGAATCAGCCCGGCCTGGGAGCCCCACCCAGGTCTTGGCTGACACTTCCCTGGTCATTGTCCACTGTGCTCCAGTCCTGCAGCCATAGCCTACCTGTAGCCCCTGCATCAGGAGGCCTGTGGGGAAGGCCCAGCCCATCTGCCCAGAGACATGGGGTGACCTTTGAGCTGTGACCAAAGGCCACCAAGGGACACAGGGTCAGGTGTCTGGAGTCAGCCAGATGTCATCCAGAATGGTGGCCTCGGGTGGTGACCAGCCCACCAGGGAGACAGGGAGAGGGGTCTGGATCTGACGCCGGCAGACTCGCATTGGATGGGAGAATCTGGTCCCTTGTGCTTCTAGACTCTCAGTGAGGCCAGGTCCCGGCACTGTCAGAGGAAGGCTCTGTCCCCCCTGGAGTCCAGGGACACAGTCTGTGCCTCAGGACCCAGCCCAGCCCTGGTGAGGCTCACCCGCCAGAGGCACATCGACATCTCAGATAGGAATGTTCTTTAATGGGCATGAAACCAGCTAGGATGAGGTAGAGGAAGAAGCAAAAGCAGACTCCTGGTGCCTGCTGTGCAGACAGTATTCGCCACATTGTCAGGGCTCTCCATGGCCGTGAGAGGAAGGCCATGTCAGACCAGATGAGCCTGGAGGATCTAAATGCTGATTTATGGTCGATAAAATATTGAGGTTGATGCTTTCAGGCAGACAGTCGGGATGGTGCTTGCTCTCACACGGAGTAAAAATCAGAATGATCTTGAGAACATAAGATCCAGCACGTGTATAGGTTAACAAAGATAGATATATTCGATGTATCAGGGATTCCACTCCTTCACACAGTGTCCTCGCATGGCTAGGGGCAGGCACAGCAGTGAGCAGGCTGTAGAGGGAGGAGAGGCTCAAGCCACAGAGAGGTGAACTGCAGGCTGCTGAAGGCCATAGGCCCAGGCAGAAGTACAGGAGAAGGGAAGTAACGGGGGGGGTAAACCCCTTTTCTATGGACCCCCTGTGGTCCTCAGCTTCGCAACACTGTGACAAAATACCTGACCCAGTCAACTTAAAAGAAAGACAGGTTACTTTGGCTCGGGGTTCAGAGGTTTCAGTCCGTGGTCCTTTGGCTCTGCAGCCTTTGAGGAAGCACCTCGTGGCAGGCATGGTGGAGAGCTGCTCACCTCATGGTAGTGCAGAAGCAGAGAGAGGAGGGGCCCGGGTACCAGGGCCCTTCCAAAGCAGCCCTGTCTCCCACTTCCTCCCACCAGGGCCCCACTCCTAAAGATTCTACTACCTCCCAGTAGTGACATGGGCTGGGGACTGAGTTGTCAATGTATGGCCATTCCAGATCCAAACCCTAGCAGCCTTGTTCTGGACTTTTGATATCTTTAGTCTCACAGCAGGTGGCTGTTTGTGTCTGGCTTGTTTCATTCAGGACTGTGGTGTGGTGTGACAGAAGCTGGTTCCTTGTCCTGGCCAAGTAATACTCCATGTGTGTGCACCCACCACATTTTCCTTGCCCATTTATCTGTTGATGGACATTTGAGTTGTTTCTACCTGTTACCAATTGTAAAAAATGCTGGTGTTCAATTCTTCTGGATATGTACTCAGGAATGGAATTGCTGGGTTATATGATAACTGTCTGACATTTTGAAGGACAACCGGCCTGTTCTCCACTGCGGCTTTCACACTCCGAGCAGCAGTGCCAGGGCTCCGGGTTCTCCAGGTGCTTGTCAATGCTCATCGCTGCTTCTGTTATTGGTGTCCTCCTGGTGCAAGATAGTAACAGGCTCACTGTACCATTGAGCCATATTCCTACATCCCCTCTTTATTTTAATACAGGTCTTGCTAAATTTCCATGCTGGCCTCCAACTTGCAATCCTCCTGCTTTAGCCTCCTGAGTAGCTAGGATTACAGGTGGGTGCCAGCACACCACCATGTCTGGCTCAGACTGGTTGTGGTTTGCATTTCCCTAAAAATTAATGAGTGAGTATGTGTGCACACGTGTTTGTGTATGTGTGTTGCTGGGATGGAGCCCAGGGCCTTATGTAGACTAGGTGAGCATTCTGCCACTGAGCTACACACCAGCCCTTTTTGCTGGCTTGGAGATTGAGTTGAGCTGTTTGTCCTGCT